GAAGTTGTGGGGCTAGGACTGCAGGAGCGAGGGATGGGGTAATTTCACCTACTGAATTAACATAGGTCGATTTCACGTTACCGACGTTACCATTTTAAACCACACGGTTTCCGTTATTGGCTCGTCGTGGAGGAAACCGGTACAGGGACGGCTATTTCACACAGCATTTCCCTTCCGGCAAGGAGCCGTCTCTGAAGCTCTGTGGCTATTTCAAACTGTGCCGCTTTCTTTTCCCGCCCTTTTTCTCCATGCGCACCATCTCCCTGAGAGGTTGGTATTTATTTTTTTTGAACATTTTATTGGGAGCGCTGTGATGCTGATTTGACGTCCTGTTATAGCGTTACAGCGCTTCCAGTAGAACTTTTTTTAAAAAGAGGAGAGATTGTGCGCCGGGGGAAAAGGGTATGAAAAAACTGTAGGAAGCGCTACGGGGCCTTTTTACACAGCCCACTGTAGTGATTCAGATCCGCAAGGAGGGATTGAAGACCTGAGGAAAGCAGTTTTAGTCAACAATGCCTCAGACATGCTTCCCAAACGGGAGACAACTGGCATTGTATGAACAGGTAAATATATCCCGTTAGGAACCAGTTACTAAAACAGGTCTGTCTGAAACGACAGGGGAAAAAATGTTAGTAACCAGTTCCTGAAACGGAATAGATAGGCTGTCTGAAATCCTAGCTAGTGAACTAGAAGCCTGTAACAGAATTCCCCCCCTCCCCACAACCTCTTTGCAGTGCCTGGCCAAGCTCACCCTTCTCCCCAGTCGGGGCCGAGAGCGGCTTACATCGTCCTCCTGTCCTCCATTTTATCCTCACAACAACCCTGTAAAGTAGGTTAGGCTGACAGCATGTGACTGGGGCCACCCAGCAAGCATCCACGGCAGAGTGGGGGTTCAAATCTGGGTCTCCCAGGTGCTAAGACAACATTGTGATCACTGCACACCACATTGGCTGTCTCAGTTGTTAGGGTACTGCTGAAGTCATGTGCAAGCTGTGGGTGACCTCGACCACTCAGTGCATAAGAACGACTAGGCTTGGAGGGGAGGGGGGCTCTTTGGCACATGCTGGCTGGAGACATGGTGGACTATATCTTGCCTCTCCACTGAGCAAAGTCTGAAGTCTTCCTCTAAGGGAAGAGCCACTTAAATTGGAGGAAGTCTTCATAGGCCAGAGGTAGCTTCCTTCAGCCTTTGGTGAGATGTTGATTTGAACTTCTGCCCCCAAGTCCCCCTCATAAAACTGTGGCAGTGGGGCCCCCCAGCCCCCTCCCCGTTTAGGAACTTGACTGTTGCTGGAAAAACTTCTGGTGGACCACTTGAA